GCACCAGCACCAGCACCACCAACAACAACAACAACCACCACAACATCATCACCACCATCATCATCATCATCATCATCATCGTCACCATCACCATCACCATCATCATCATCATCATCATCATCATCAATAGCAGTTCAATAGCAGCACTATCATCATGACCTGACAAGAGCCACCACCATCCCACCATCAAGGTTTACAGCCAACGACAACCACAGGAGGGGAGAGCAGGGCAGGCGGAGTGGAACACGTACCCACAGCCCACACGAAGGGGGCCACGGGGGGAGAGGGGGAGAATGTTATGGGGGGGGAGGAGGGGGGGGGGCCTAGCAACGCTGCACCATATATGGCGGCCAAGTGCACATTCGAGCGTCGAGCATTCGTCCGAGCATTCGAGCGTTGCATTCAAGCGTCACGGCCTGGTCTTAAAATCTAACAACCCCACTGAGGGTGAGGACAAAATTGGGAATGCGCTTCTGTTGAAGCATTCCAAGACCTCTTCGGTCACCTCTGCGTCCTGCCTTGGGGTTCAGGTCCAGGTAGCAATAGCAGAGCCTTGGAAAGACATGAACGGGGAGGAAAGTGCGTGTGTGTTCTGCAGCTAAAGGGTAGGTACTCGCTCCGGCCCATGAGGTTGCCATCTGCGGCGTAGCCTAGACAGGAAAGTGGTGGAACTGTGGAAAGCGGTGAGAGCAGAGAGTAAAAGAGAGAGTGTTTCCAAGATCGGAACAGGGAGAAAACCAGCTGGGACGCCCACCAGCTCCCTCACTTCCCATGGAAATACCCATCACCTGACAAGATCCAGGCGAAACCAGCACGACTCGCAAATACTTGCAGCTGCATGCTGATCATGCTGCTTTGCTGCATTATGCTGCATGCTGCAAAGCAGCATTGCCCGCTTTGATCTGCACGGCCAGTGCCGTGACCTCTGGCAGCTTCGACCCGCCCTCAGTACGCTGCTTGGTACGTCGCTCCCTGACCCTTCCCTGGAACATCTGGGGCATTCGGACTGGGTACTTGGCCTCTGCATCGTTGATGACCTGCAGCGGCACATCCCCCGCAATTTCTTTGCCCAAGAGCGCGAAACTGTCCACCTCAGCGTGACAAGCGCAATCTTCAAGGCCAGAACAAATCCATATTGATCCATATTGACCCGTATTCCGCTATATTGTATGCAATTGTGTACTGAATGCTGAGCCAGCTGCCACCTTCTCCTTGTTCACATCCGGTGGGAAGTTCGGGAAAATGTCGCACCAGGTCGCCTTCGGAGCAAAGAAAGAGTGACCGACATTTGGTAGCTTCCCCAAATACACGGAGTATCTGGCCACTACAAGGACGGAGGCCCCTTCTGTTCCTAGGTGTGGCTGCCAGGTCCTGTTGTTTTTTCCTAGGCGTGGGCCGGGTCTTGTTTTTTCGAGTAGGTGTGGCGAGCCTTCTGCTTTCTTCCTTGGTGTGGCGGGTCTTCTTTTTCCTAGGCGTGGCTTCTCTTCATGGCATGATGTTCCTTGACGCAAGCTTGCACGGCGAAATTTAAAAGGCGGGGGTTTGGGGGAGCCCCCCCCTGCCCCCATTTGCAAACACGGTGCTTTGTATGAATAAGCCGGGGCGGGGCATCCAGGTGCATGTCTGTCTCACGTATCACTTGCCTGTATGCTCAAGGTTCTAGCACAGTGAGTTCTACAGCTGTGCGACTGCAGGAAAAGACACTCCTGAGTGCCTGTGTTCCTGTGCGAGGGGATACACGCCCAGGTTACATCTCGGGGGGGGGGAAGGGGTTGGGCGGGGTTGGGGGGGGCGCAGCCCCCACCCCTCCACATCATTTGCAAACAAAGGTGATCACAATGACGGGTTGGGCTTTGACACCACTAAGTTCTCTTCATCGCATGATGTTGCTTGACGCAAGCTTGCACGGCAAAAACAAGTGGGGTGGGGGGGGGGGCAGCCCCCCACCCCACCCCATATTGCAAACATTTATTATTGTTTTGTAATGATTGGTTTTGAACGGATTGTTCAAGCCTGCGCTCTTCACACAAACCATCTTTTCGTGACAGTTTCGTTGCGTGAGACTCTTTTGCCAAACTGTTCAAGGCAACGCTCCTCACACCTGCTTCGACACAGTGGGCGCTCTAGGGATACTCTGCGGATTCTGTGAGTGAGCACTGCAGGGATTCTCTGAGTGCGGGAGGCCAGGACACCTAATAAGAACCGAGGGGAGGAGTACAGACAACCCAGCCGAGAATAGCTGAGTCTATATCTAGCAGCTTAGAATCTAGCAACCTACTGCCGAGGGTCAAGGAAAAAATCTGGGTAGGCCACTGTGATGCACCCATCCGCGTTCAGGATCAAGTTTGCTGGTTTCCTGCGGCGACTTCTTGCGACGTGTCGCAGCCCTCGCAACTACAACAACCGTCGGTGCTTCCTGAAGATTTATGCAATGTCCGTCCTTGCAGTCTGCATCACTGCCACTACAAAGTCCTGCAGACAATGCTCTGTGACTGCCAAAGGAGTGCAGCAGTCGTGGGGAGAGAGGGCTGGCCAAGGGTCCAGGATACGGTTGTCTTTGAAGGACTTCTTGGCAAACTCTTGGATGACCACCTCACCCCGTGTCACGCTGCAGTCTCCTATTGACTCAGGTGCACAGAGGTACGTCGCGGCTACGTGACACAAGTTGTACAAATTCTCATCGCACCAACACTAATTACGGGTTACACAAGAGGTTTCACCGCGACCCGAGCATATCAATGAGAGACTCTGATTGTCTCCTGAAGCGGTCGACGGTGCAAAGCTGTGAAGCTCATCCTTAGCTTTGGGCTCGCTGGTCGGGGTTGGCCAACAACTTGATGCGCTGACCTCAGAGGGCTTCAGGGCTTGGATGGGAGCGCGGATGGGCGGCATGTTGCTGTAGGGCTGCAGGGCATGCGATGGCGAATATTGCACATGGCTGCAACTCAATATTTGGTCAACAGTTCGCTTGCAAGGGTCCTTAGGGTCCCTGCCTCGCGACGTCCTGACACAGGGAGCAGCTTCGCAGCTGCAGTCAAAGCCAAGGAAAGAAAGCTTGAAAGTACGTGTAACCATGGTCCATATCGGAGGCCAAGCTACAAGAAGCCTACCTTCTACAGGAAGCATTAAGGGAACTGGCGAAGTTGGCGCGCAGCAGCACCGGTCAACGAAACAAACTCACTGTCGGAAAATCGAATATGAAGGGAACTGTTTCAACCACAAACCGAAGGCGCACACGACTGTGTTGTACGCACCGCTGACTGGTGCCCCATGGTCGGCCGTGACCTGTCAGGATCCCGATTGTATCAACATAGGGTACTTTAAGTCTTTAAGTGAAGCTTTAGGGCAGAAATGCCATGCCAAGACATGTTTTTGCAAGTTTGGCAACACAGGGATGGTCAATGTGTAGTCTTCGCGTACAGCCCATCGTGTTTACCCCTCCCCCCCCTAGCACAGGGTGACGCCATCCGAATCATCTCCTTTCGCTTTCGGGCGGTCTGTTGAACCAAGAGTTGCTGTTGCAGGCGGGGCACGATGAACTTGCCGGCGGGTAGCAGCCTCCAAGGTTTGGGTTTCATGACGGGGGGCAGGAAAAGTGCACCACTGGCCCATCCCACCTTCTGAACCAGGGGAGTGACAAAACGCCACTGACACCTGGGCGGCAGCTACACTCTGATATCTCCAGCTCCAGGGCTGAATGGCTCAGGCCCCGACCAATGCGTGAAAAGACATCCGAGATGCTGAAGTTGCAGTGCTTCAACTCCTGTACCAAGCTTGTGGTCTGTGATGGATTGTGTGTTCCACAATTCATTGGCACGGGACTCGTCTATAAGTAGTAATTAAGCATGGAAGTCGTACGTCCTCCCGGTCGTCGGTGATGGTGATAAAGTTTACGGGCTTCCTTTTTGCAGATCTCTGCAAATCTGAAAGCAATTGTGCTTCATCCAGGACAAGTCTCGCTTGGGTTCAACCCAGAAAGTAGCTCTTATAGTAGGGAACGAGGCCCCCCGCTCCGCTAGGGAAACGTAAGGAACCCCGTGAGTTCTCAACAGTATCTCAGGCAGACTCCAATTAGCAAAACCTAAAGCAAGGATTCGAAGAGCCAAGAAACCCCTGCCTGACCCTGACCAATTTTGCGGCCCACGAATCCACGGGCACCTGGCAGGGAGAATCCCGTCTTAAGGGGAGTCTGGGTGGATTTGCAGGGGTTTTGGGTTATTTGTTTCTGTTTTGGTTGGCTGGGAGGTTGAGGCTTTGGGGTTTGGGGTTCGACTTGTGGATTTTGAGATCCGCGTTTGGAAGCCCTTTTACCCGCAAGTTCGAAAGCGACTGCAGTAATAGCTTTCCGAAAACAAAACACCCACCCACTCACCCAGGGCCTCGGCCGTCTCTTCTTCCGGCTCCTGTGGCATCCAGCTTTGAGGTTACTCCGGTGAAGTACTCGGATCGTCTACGCGAGAGCTTGGAGTGCCTCGACCCCGCAGTGCTCGACCATGGTGTATCTGGCTACATGAGTTCCCCACTACACAGTTTCGCAGTACAAGCCCTCCGAGACTCCCACAGGTTGATGGTCTCCGGCAATTTGGGAACAATGATCCCTGTTTCCTACGCATCTTTTGCGCCGGACTCAACGACAGCATCAAACTCCAAACTCAGAGCAAGCCATCGGTTAGGTCATCGACTGTGCTGTAAGAAGTTGCAAGGTGGAAAGGCCGGCCTTCATCGCCACATTCTTGGCCATTGGTGTTTCCGTCCCCCTGGCCTCTTGGATTGGACAACTGGCTTGAGGCTTGCCTTACTGCATTGGCCCTGCCTGCATCAAATTGGGGTACTGCTCGCGGAGAGCTTGTTCCTGTAGGCTGTGCCCGCGCGGTCGAACACCAAATCCTACCTGACCTAACAAGACTTTAGATAAGGAGAGACGCTGGCCATCATCACTACCAAGAAGTGATGCTTGGCTGGGGTAGCAATGTCAGGGCAGTTGCCCAGCATTGGACGTGCATTTTTCTGGCTGTCCATCTCCAGCCTTCTAGCTCTTTCCGCATGGGGAGCATTTTGTGCAACTTCACGCGCTCATGAAATATGCCTTGCGTTTGCCCTGCGCGCCTCCAACTTCATGCGCAGCTGCATCTGCACGGCTCCAAGCCTCAGCTTGGAAGGTTTGTGCTTTGCTGGCGTCAACCTGCGTCCAAGCGAAACCTCGAAAACTCAGCAGACACGTCTGTTCCGTGACGTCCTTAGTTCGATACTCCTGGCTGACCATGACCACTTTTTGTTGGAGCTCCTGTTGCAAGGGTGGAAAAATTCAGGATGATCTGTCACATTGACGCATTGGTGACGCTTTGAGATCACTCTGGTAAGACTCTTGAACCGAGAAAAGTGTTCCTTGTTCTGCGCAATCAGCGCCTCCTTCTCGCTGGCCTGGTTTTTGGGATTAGTCTGAGGTTGGGTACTGTAGGGGCCTTAATTAGCAAAAGGGCCGACCTAAGGATCCTTCTTGTAACTACTTATGTGGCAGTCAGCAAAACGTCCTGTCAGTGTTCAGGGGTGATCGAATGCACCGAATGCACGGGCGTGATTTGCTCTCCGCCGAAACCAGCAGCACTTGAACATGGTACGAAAACCAGAACACCCACAGGGCTTTGTGCTAGGCCATATTAATAATGCTTGCACGATAGAATATAGAATAAGATATATACTACTATAAAACACTAGCTTATGTCAATATGGGGTTTAGAAGGGGAGAATCGGGGTTAGGCGCCAACAATACCGCCAAAGTCACAACCATGCCTGCCGTTGCAGCTTGCTTCTCAAGCGCTGGATCTCTGCCTTCCGTCGATTCGGTGAATTGTCGTCAGTAGACTCAGAGGATCGACGGGAATCCTTTGCTCAAGCCCCGTGCGCCTCAGCCTTGTCCTGCAGCTTGCACAGCCGCACCTGACATGCTCCCATGCTTTGAGTGATTTGGAGTGGTTGGCCCTCCGGACAATGCCATACACCCTCAGCATCCCTCAGCCCTAAGAACAAAATCACTGGTTGCAACTCTGCAACTTTGAACCTTGAAGCCGCACTGGACGCGCCTCTTGCTCTGCCAGGCGGCGCACTGCCAGCGCAAAGCCGCGAGTTTTGGTGAGAACTGGGGTCCGAGCTTCGGCCTGACACGCGCAACAAGGCTATCAACGCACACATCAGTTTTCAAGTGCTAACGACGGACTTACGTACTCAAGCGTATACGTGCTATACGCCGTATAAGTGGTACAATGTACAACAAGTGGTTATTAGAAGCACCACAAAAGGCCCGCGTGAGGGCCAGTTGCAGTAGCTTGAGTCCCAGACGAAGTCTCATGAAGCCATCGCCTCTGCACGCATGGACCCCGAGCTCTTCTCCCATCACAAAAAACCCTGCGGAATGAGCAGGCACGGATGCTTTTTGTCCTCAGCACTTTGCACAATGACAAAGTTCTATGTTTCGACATACATGGTGCTGCTGCATCAAGACAAAGCCCACAATCTTGATGCGGAAATGCGGGATGATGCGGGATGCATACCTCCAGGCGCAAACCCATCAAGAACCCCCTCCTGGTCCCACCTTCCTTTCTTTGAATGAGAGTGCCGCCTGATTCGCCTGTATGTCTTGGCGGCGCTTATGATTTCCAGACATAGGGAAGCATTCCCACCACTGCCTCGTTTGAGGGTCTTGTTGGAATGCTTCAATCACCTCTGCCTTGGCGTCCTTGACTGTGTAATGGGTCGATGACACAAATTGCCGCCCGTCAAAGCTCAGCACGGCCCTCCAGCGCTCGCCCTCGCCAGTCCGCGAACTTGATGGCTCCACAGAAGCAACAGCCTTCTGCTCGCTTGGATGTACCGCATTCCACCTGTGTAATCGCCTCAGATACGCATGGACATTCAGGGCCGAACAGCGGTACCTCACTCAACACGTTGGATAAACGCAGCGACGAGACTGGGGCCTAGGCATGTTGAACTCATAAAGGAAGTCTTTGCCATGGAGCTTGTCCATGGGCGGCTGGGAACAAAGTGATATGACATGCCATGTCTTGCTGTGGCTGTTTGCCATTGAGTCGCATTGAGTCCTCGATTTGCACAATGTGTTCGCAACAACCCTTTTCTGAGCCGGCAAAAACAGCGGAGCTTGTGCAGATCACGGTAGTCCGAATTCTAAATGTCTCCGAGCTCCTGGACGTCTGGATGGTTTTACAGACACTGAGAATGCAACACACTCATGCTCATGCTCTCAGCCGTGGAAAACTGTGCTGGGACGCCGGCAGTTTCATTGAGAGTCTTCAGGCTCACCTGCAATGCGATGTTTCTTTGCAATCAGGATCCGCATGCGCTTTGTGACCACGATTTCGCGGTGGATACCGTGATATACCGTGTGTGCGTACAGCAAAAGAGGACCCCCGACTTGAAGCAGGAAAGCTCATGTATTTCAAGCCCTGTGTGGGTTAGACACACGCTTCTCCCTTGCTCGAGGCAATGACCTGCTTTGCCTCCGGGAGTTGGCGCATCCTGACCGAACTCAATCTCAGGATGTTACAGGGGCAATAGGACCTACATGGACCTCGCAGAATCTGACAGGTTTCGGCGAGATCATGTGTGTTTTGCCACTGGCTCAAGCATTTCACTTGAATGATCAAGACAGGCTGACCGGCGTGCCTTCGTGGAAAGCATCCAGCAAAGCACTCCATGGCCGAAGGATTGAACAAATGTTGCACTGGGTTCAATACAGCACCCCGAAGTAATCGGAACTTCTGTAAAAGCATGCTGTCAGTGCGCATGCACAAGATTAAATGCCATACGGCACATGTAAACTTATTGACCATGCGCACGGAAGAGGAACGCCCAAAGACAAGACTTAATACTTGTCAGCTTTGTAGTTCCGCGCGGTTGCTGAGTTCGCTTGTAGATAGTTGCAGTAGCCTGCGTGCCTGGACAGTAAACATCAACGTCTGCGAGCTTGCAATGAGACTGTGCGGTGTAACACCTTGAACTCAACGTCATGTCAGCAATGCTTGGCTCACACCCCTTTTTTGGGCAGGCAGGTGCTACCGGCAGGTCTGCGGTCGCAGCGCAGGGCCGTCTACGTGGGTCGAACTACGAAAGTGGGCCTGTTGCTTGGACGTAACTAGCACAACGGTTTCAGCTCTTTGCTTGCCCAGCATATTTCAGTCTCCCTGTCCTGTTCTACTATTCCTTACTGCAGCCCACCATCAAGGATATCCTGACCTCAACCAGTTTGGCCCTGGCCAACCTATCAGGACAGCCTGGGAGATCTCAGGCTGGGGGAAAGGCAGCTTGATGGTGTTGGTGTGCTGGAGCGTGGCCTGTAAAAAATGCCAATGCTTTGGGCATGTTTTGAGGTCTTTCAACCTTTCTATTGGTCTCTTAAGATGCCATGGCTCAGTGCCACGCCCCAGGTGATAGCTAGCGAATCAGCAGCCTGCGCCCAACAGCACCCCTCACGCAAAAATGTGCAAAAAGGTGGGAACTGTAAATCTTGGCAGGACCAGCAAAGCAGCGTCGGGAGCAGTAGCAGCGATCAATAAGCAGACGGTTTTAACTGACTTAGTGAAGGCTTAGTATCATGGATTTGGGGATTGCGCGATGGCCCTCACAGCTGTGGGGGTGACTCTGGCAATCCGCAGGCTGGCAGTGGCTTTATTGAGAAAGTGCTGCCGGCAAGGCTCAATGTGCGCCGCCAGCATCCAAACACAGAACCACGAGTCGCTGATGAAATCAATGCAGGCACACTCCAGAACCTCATGCTGATTACATCGCTGTGCGGGCACCTAGGTAAGAGAAGAGAAGCCCTTAGCACTAGCCCATGCGTGCCACTGGCCTTGCGACGTAAATTCAAAAGGTGAAACAAGGATTCCAAGCGGCCGGCAATTCCTAGGCAGCTGCTGCTAGGACATGTTGATGGACCAAGTCATTCGTACGTTTCCATTCCATGGGCGTAGATCCTCACCGTCCTGCTGCACAAATGACGCGACTCAAATCCAGGATTGGCGCAGTACGCACTGCAGCAAAGTTGCGCTAGACGTCGGCAGGGCTTAACGGTGTCAGGCCTTCTCTGACTGTATCTCACGAAACCATGATTTCGACATGTGCGCTGCCGACATGCTAGCGCAATGGCATTGCCGAAGATCTGCATGCTACAACATGATTGCCGGACCTTGCCCATGTATGACGAATCAGGGCATGAACTTAATTTTTGGATGCTGCTGAGTTAAGGATCTGCCTGTTGCACGTTGCCCTGCTGCAAGTTTTACTGGCATGCCTTGGCCTTCATCTGCACATTCCACCGCTTCCTGGGCTCTCACAAAAACAAAGGTGGTACAAGTCCGCTATACTTCCCCTGTGGAATGATTACAATATTTTGGATGTTCCCGTTATTCTGCATAGGCACGTCTCTTCACTTGCAAGCCCTTCAAGCACCGGCACTTAGTCTAAAGTCGAGCATTTAACGAAAAAACGCCAGGATGCAATTGCTCGTTGAAGACCTCAGAGGGCTCTCCTGAGTATTGAGCAGGCCACGGCTGAGTCTGGCTCGTCCCCTCAACACCTCCTCTATGTGTGGCTTCTACGCCGCATGTTGTCGTGCTGGCTTCGACCTTCGACTTTTCCCAACCCTCCAATTACATGTTCTATGATCTATGATCCTGTGCACTTAGCCAATCCTCACAAAGCACGAGACTTAGCCGTCTGCCGTATCTGCTGCTGTTGTTTCATTAGGCCACCTCTTGATTCTCGTCTTCACGCGGGCGAGGCACTCAGGGAGCGCCCGGGTGACGCAGCACCAGACCTTAAACAAGCATTGCCAAACTTCCTCAGCGGAATACCACAGTACAGTGCAAACACAATGCAGGCAAGAAACGCAGGGAATCAGAGTTTCATTGCGTCTATCATGCCTCAGCGCCTTAGGGCCTTAAAGTACAGGAAGAATGTTGTCGTACAAGAGCGGAACAACTTCCGGGCATGGGCTTGTCTCGGCGAAATCTTGCCGGCCTGCTACCTCTGAAGCTAGAAGCCACTAGAGCACCCGACATCCAAATGCACAAGGCCACCAGCATCCAAGTGCGCGGCGCGTGGGCAAGAGCCAAAAGCTCCTGAAAAACAATACAT